AGGGGGTAGGAATATATGGGGGCATGGGTCCTTGTGGGAGCATTTGGGGGGCCTGAGGGTATATGGGGGGCTGAGACTGTATAAGGGCGGGTGTGAGGTCTGGAAGTATATGGGGAACTGAGTGTGCCTGAGGGAGTATATGGGGGGCTGGGGGTGCATGACAGCTAATATGAGGGAGCTGAGGGGTATAGAGGTCCTGGGAGTGTATGGGAGGTGTATGGGGGGCTTGAGAGTGTTTGGAGGACTGGGGGTGTATGGGGATCCGAGGGATTTTTGGGAGGGATCAGGAGTATATGAGGAAATATATGGGGGGAGGGGGGGTGCATGGAGAGGCAGGAGTGCTCTAGAGGGATCTGGGTGCCTAGGGGAGTGAGGCTGTATGGGGGCTGTATGGGAGTCTGGAAGTATGGGGCTGGGTAGACGAGGGGCCAGAAGAAGCAGGTGGCTGCACCCCCCTTACTGGCACGCACTGGAACATACCGGTTCCCCCAGGGAAGCCCGGGATCTAACACTGCCACCAGCACCATCCATAAGGGCAGCAGGGGGGCTCTTCTGGACACTGACCCCCTCCCATTCCCCCTACAGGGCAAGCCCTATGTCTTCGACCGTGTCTTCCCCCCCAACACCACCCAGGAGCAGGTGTACCATGCCTGTGCCATGCAGATCGTCAAGGGTGAGGGGCTGAGGGGCTTGGGGATACCCAGTGGGTCCTGGAGTCTCTGTAGGACTGTTGTGGGGGGGGTCTATGAGGTCTCTAGGGGTCTTGGGGAGGTCTGGGAGGTCTCTGGGGGTGTTCATGAGGTCCTTTTGGGGATCTCAGGGGCTCTTGGGCATCTTTGGCAGTCCTGGAGGTGGTCTGGGGGGCTATGAGGTCTCTATGGGTTTAGGGATCCCTTAGGGGGGTCTCTGGGGGTCTGGGAAGATCTATGGGGTCCCAGGAGCTCTTGGGGGTCTCTGGAGTCCCAGGGGTGCCAGAATCTCTCTGCCCACTCTCATCCCCCCTGCAGATGTGCTGGCTGGCTACAATGGCACCATCTTTGCCTATGGGCAGACATCATCGGGCAAGACTCACACCATGGAGGTGAGAGGGGCTGGGGACAGCTCAGCCTGGGGGACTGGGGGGGCTCTCAGCTGGGCTGAGAACTGGGTGCTGGGGATCCCCAGTTGACCGCCTCCACCACCCCTAGGGCAAGCTGCATGACCCCCAGCAGATGGGCATCATCCCCCGCATCGCCCAGGACATCTTCAACCACATCTACTCCATGGACGAGAACCTCGAGTTCCACATCAAGGTGGGCAGGGGCACTGGGAAAACTGGGGGACTAGGGTGCTGGCAGGATTGAGGGACTCATGGGGCTGGGGGGAGAAGGAGGACTGAGAGGGGTCAGGTCCTGGTCCCCCCCTTACACCCCAATTCCCTCCTAACAGGTGTCTTACTTTGAAATTTATCTGGACAAGATCCGAGACTTGCTGGACAGTGAGTGGGGAGCCGCTGGGAGCACTGAGGGGGAACAGGGAGACATTGGAAGGGTATTGGAGAGCACTGGAGGGGCACTGGGAGGAACTGGACGGATATGGGGGATCACTGGGAGCACTGAAGGGGACCACAGGGCAGTGGGGCTGGGGGCTGCAGGCTCTGGTGGTGAGGCAGAGCTGGGGGGTCACTCCCACCCCCTCAGCCCCCCTCACCCCATGTCCCCTCCAGTGACCAAGACCAACCTGTCGGTGCACGAGGACAAGAACCGGGTTCCCTTTGTCAAGGTGAGGAGGTTCCCGGAGGGTGCCCCAGCCAGGGGCACTCTGTGGGGGCACCCACAGAGGTTTGGGGTGGCTGGGGCCGGCCCCCCAGGCTAACCCGCTGCCTGCGCCCCAGGCTGAGCCCTTGGGGTCCAGCCCCGAGGAGATCCTGGATGTGATCGACGAGGGGAAGTCCAACCGGCACGTGGCTGTCACCAGTGAGCACCCTGGGGCAAGGGAGAGCCGCGGGAGGGAGGCGGCAGGAGAGCCCATGGGCTGCGGGCTCTAGGGGGTGGCTGTGCGACCCATGGGGGGCTGTGGGGAGCTGGGTCCCTGCTGTGCAGGAGGCCATAGGGGTCCCTGGGGCACTGTGGGGTCACTGGGGAGCTGCAGGGATCTTTGGGATGCCATGGAGTCCCTGAGGGGCCGTGGGGGTCCCTAGGGTGATTTGGGGTCTCTGGGCCACCATGGGGATTCCTGGAGCACCACAGAGGTCCCTGGGGTACTGTGGGGGTCCCTGGGGCACCGCGGGCCGGTGCGGCATGGGGCAGCTTGGGGCAGTGCAGTGGCGTGGGGCGCCGTGGGGTGCTGTGGGGTGATGCGGCAGGCATGCAGCCTCTCCCGTGCCCTGCAGACATGAACGAGCCA